AAGAAGGCAGAGGGATGAGGGTGGGAGCTGGGGCAGGAGCAGCAGCAGGAGTCGGGGGGCAGCTTGTGGACTGCTCTGTGGCGGCTGCCAGGCAGTCAACGGTGGTGCTGAAAGCTACACACACACTTTGGACCTGCTGAAGCAGCTCCTGTCAGATGGTGTGGCACAGTTCTAGGTCTGTATCCAATCTGCGGTCCTGCTGCTCCACAGACCGCTACAGGGCCCATAGGCTGGCAACGTGTTCCTGCTGCAGGGCTCCCTGGGGTTGCTGGCATCTGCAGGTTTTGTGGAATTGGGAGGCTAGTGTGGGAGATGTGGCTCGTGCCTCACTTGCAGCTAGTCCAGCTGTGAAGAAAAGTGAGAAGAGCAGTTATCCCAGGAGACAGGGTGCATAAAGCGTAGCCCTTACCTCTGAGGTGACACCGAAAGGTGTCAGGTCAGATGAAGGTGAAGTGCTTCGAGCAAGGCCCTCTGTGGCTTAGAGAGTGGGCCCTTTCCTGCAGGGGCACGGACATTCCAGGGGGAAGCCTCACTTACCTCACGTCCCAGGGACAAGCAGGCAAGGGAGGGTGCCAGGAGCTTGTCAGCGGGAAGGGGGTGATGGGACGGCTCGGCTTCCCTCCCTGCCGTGCACATGCCGGGTCCAGCAGTGGCAGAATCTCATAGGGAGACGGCTCATAGGGAGCCTGCTGGAGGATTGAAGGGAAGGTGTTGGAGAGGGGGAGTGTGCGCAGCAGATGCTGCTTGCCAGGGAAGTGCTGCTAGGGTCCCCTCCACTTCCTCCCTTTCCCAACAGGCTCCCGTGGCAGGGGTTTAGTGTCCCCCACCTTGCCACACTTGCCTGGGAGTGGATGTCGCCCTGAGAGTTTTGTTCATTTCTATTTTAATGTATTATATATTCTCTGAAGAGTACACTGTCTTTAGAGAATCGAAGGAAGCTATTTAAACATTTTTATATAGAAATTAGGGCTGGCTGGAAAATACCAATTTTATTTTGAGAACAAAGTCTTGGGTTTTGACATTTATTTTCATTTTTCATGGGAATGAAAATGAGACTTCAAAAATGTTATGCAAAAGAGATAGATGTGTGCATACACTGAAGCACTCACCCAAATATAGTCAATAGTTCATTCTGTTGATTTGGGGCAGAAACTGCCATGAGATGGCCTAACCACAAGACTCTAAAATCCATCTCTCACTTTCTTCATCTCTCCTGTTGGTGCCATTTCACTTTGTATAAATATGTATTAACTAAGCCAGAGAGAGTGTGATTTTTCTGTTTCCCAAGGGTTGTTGGTTATTCGGGGTGATTCTCTCTCTTGTTTTGACCAGAAATTCCACCCGACCCCAAGCAACGTTCCAGATGAAAAGTTATTAAAGAATTTTTTTCAGCTATGTTTTGTAGAGTGGTCACTCAAGTCATGTTTGTTGAATGAATGGTGATCTCTTTATCTGAAGTAATATTGTGATGTGAGTTTGTCTGGGGCTTGAAAATTTTTCTTCCTTACTTTACACCTGGAAAAACACTTTTTTTTGCAGTGTTTGCAAAAAATAAACTAATTCAAAAATTAGATTGAATTAATACTATGGATAGTATTCAGTGATATTCACAACCTCATTTACTAGCTTTTTCATAAACACTATGTGAGCTAAACTCGGTTGTTCCCAAGCATGATTGTCTAAGGGTAGAGTATTTGTGCATATGTGGACTAAACATGGTTTCTCACATGAATATTAATGCAAATTGTAGAAGTATTTATACTGGAGCTGTTTGCTCTTTTATCTTAAAAGCACTTTTGGACCAGGAACCATCCAATCAAGTGACAGGAACAATACCACACTGTATAAGTGACTAATCTCACAGCATATGCATGAATGACAAGTAGTGAATATTGGAAGCAGTTGCTGTAGTGAATAGTAAGCAATGCATCACAGTAAATTTTAAATGATCAAATTGTTAGAAATGAAAGTGTCTTTTCAGGTAATTCATGAACTGACAGTGGGGATAAATTCACTGAAGATATAGTTCACTGTGAATAACTTGTCAACCTCTGGAACTGGATGTACTAGATATGACTAGATTTTATTTAATACATAAAAACCTTGCTACTGAGAAAGTATCTTTTAGCACTGCAACTTCCAATATTAGCTGAATGCTACTAGATAGGTTTTTTTTTTTTACAAAGAAGTAACATCTTGTGGCTTAGTGTTATCATTCATCTTGAACATAGCTAAAATGGCATGTCCTATTTCTTACATGTTGCATATTTTAGCTGCTGTAACTTACTTTTTAAATATGCATTTTAGTGCTACACTTCTTTTTTTTGTGTGGGGTTAAGGGGGCAAGAAAAGCAATTGTGTTGATTTATATCAGCAAACTGCCCTCTAGTGACTGAATTGGAAAGGAATTATGTCTGCTGAAGTCACATAGTATATTGCAAGGTTATGTGCTTGTTATTTTTCAGTAGAAACAAATTCAAAGATTCACCATACAATTAAAGCAATGGCTTTTGTAGAATTTAGAAAGCACTTTCTTGTATAAAGATAAACTTAAAAAACAACAAATGGTCTGGTAGCACTTTATAGACTAACAAAACATATAGATAGTATCATGAGCTTTTGTGGGTACAGCCTACTTCTTACTGCAGAAGGTGGGATATGGGTTGTTTTTTCATACCTTTCCTGAGCTCCAAAGATTATTTCAGACTTCCCATTCGCTATAAATCTCACTTTACTCTTTCAGTTCTGGGTCTGAATGTGGAAACATAGATTGAACTTCTTGCATTTGGGGGTCCCTGCTTCTCCTTACCCCCTTTCTAATTTACAGAACAAGTATGGTACAAATAGAACCAGTGTGACTTGTCCCAAAGCTGCACTACTAATGTGCTCCAACCTTGACATGGTAGGACCAAGTGTGTGTATGAGAGCGTAGTTTTGTCTCTTTGCTTTTTCATTCCCTGGACTTCATGCAAAGAAAAGTCATTAGGGGACTTGCAGGTGGTGCTGTCGGTGAGATATTGAACAGTGACTCTGGAGAATGGGGTTCAGTTCCTGACTTTACCAAAGATTTACTGTGTGATCCTGAGAAAAACATTTCATCTCTCTGTGCCTCATTTCCCCCTCTCTAGAATGCAAATAATGATACTTAGTTATTTCTCAGGGGTGTTTTGAGGCTATATTAATGTTTAGTGAAGCTCAGAATGATGGTCACGGGAGCAATAGCAATACTTCTGTAGACTGAAGGTCAGCTGCCCAATGGCTCTGTGAGATGTTTTAGCTGAGTGCCTGGTAAACAAGTGTCCATATCACATAAACTACCTTTGTAACTGCAATCCTTATGGAGAGAGTAATGTATGGGATAGGACAGTGGTGTTCAACCTTTTTCTATAGTGTGACCCCATGTTATAATAGATACAAGTTTGGCAATACATACCTTGCCCTTCTTCATAGCCTAAACGTAAAGGATATTACAACTCTCCTCCTTCCTCCTCCAGGTCTGTTCAGAATTCCCAGGCTGAGTATCCACATGCTGGGAGACTGAATTATCTTTATAATCACAGAGTTGGTCCATAGATTAATGTTAAAGCACAGTACATTAAGGGGAAGCCATCATTTCCCCTTCACATGCTGTACCTGCGGACAAAAGATGTCAGATTTCAGGAGTGTCAAGCTGTCACTTTTCACAAATGCTAATAAATTCGCTGAAATGTGTTTTCTTTCCTTCAGACAAAGACAATGCAATTAAATTCTTATATTTCCAGACTTAAACATTTTATTTTTTTTCTAAAAATAAAATCTTGGGCAATTTTTGGAAACCCATATTTTATATGTCTTGCAAGGGAACATAGCTTATCTGACTGTCCGATTCATTTCTCTGCCAGCCTGCTGTCTGACACTAAATTTATTTGACAAAAAGGAACTAAAATCTAATTAGAGAGAGATTGTTTCATCTATGTGCTCGGCAGCCCCCCATAGGTCTGTCTCCGTGTTGGTTTGCCTCACTGTAAAAACTGCAGATGGAGAGAGCTGGTTATACGGAATGTCATAATGCCAGTTAACTTAGAAGGATGTCCCCTGAAGCTGTGCTGGAAGTTAGTAGCTCAGCTGTCTGTCAAATAAACCATGACAAGCTTAGCTTGTGCAAAGAGAGCTTCCTGACATCTTTGGACACCTGGACACCACAGCTCCTGTCAATCAGCATGGGAAAAATGTGTTGGTAGCTTATATGTTGCAAAAAGCATCACTCTTCCTGGTGTTGCCAGTATTTATGATTCCTAATAAGTTGTACTTTGTGTATTTTCAAGAGATTTGTATCATGGCTACAGAAACTCCTGTTTTGAACAGGAGTTTCTTTGATAAAGCTCTTTCCAGTGTGTTGTCTTATTCTCCAGTTACAGGAGAACCCTGAATTCATTATTCTTTGTCACTTTCCAGGCAAAGACAACTGTGCCTAAGGTGCTTATTTAACTGGGACTTCATTTTCAGTTGCTTTCTTTTCATCTATCCAGCGGTGACACAACTGCTTATACAAACAGACCAAAAGTATATGATAAGCTCGCACTGAATACTTGCTAATTGCCATCTCAGTGGATTTACCAAGACAGGTCAGACACAACATATTTTGTTAAGTCAGCTGTATTTTCAGTCAAAGGCATAACAGCACACTTGTAAAAAGTTTACCTTTCTGAAACACAGCTAGTATGGAGATTGGTTTTCCAACAAGTAGAACAGTTGCTGTAGCTCAGATGTAGTGGAAAAGAGAAGGACCGAGTAGAAAACTGTGTCAGGTGTATGGAATCATGTCTCCGTATACAAGTATATCTATGTATAATAGTTTATTTGAAGACCGTGTATATATTAGGTGTTAGCAACATTGCCAGACTGATATTACTGGTATCTTACTGAGAGAAATGTAAGTAGGTGGATGGTATATTGGTAACTCACAGAACAGAAAATTGATTCCTAACTTTGTTTTCCGTTATGTGACCTTAGAGAAGTCATTTAAATTCTCCATGACTCAGTTTCCCCATCAATAACATCGATATAACATATCACATGGGATGCTGTGAAATGTAATTCATTATTGTATATAAAGCGTGTTGTGTTTATTTATTTAATGAGTGTGTGTGGAATACATGTACTGCAAGGAGGGCTTCCTTGACAGGTCTTTGTCAGTTATGTCAATCCAACCTACAGTTTATCCCCCTAATCCAGACCCTATAATCCTCAAAAACCTCCTGTTGTAGCATCTTATATCTGACTTATGACAGCCCTGGCTATTCTAATCTTAGGTCTTTCCTGATCAGAGGCTGTCAATTACATTTAATATGGGAGGTCTGGTGTCCACTGGGCTCTGGGATGAGATCACCGGCCAGATTGCCTAGACTGAGAAAGAGCAGTGCTCTAACCCTCTGCTCCAGCTAGCCCTAAGAACTTCTTCTTTTGTTCTGCTGAACTCTTTCTGGTGGAAGAACAAATAGTCTGAAATGTGGGATATGATTTAAAAACTGAACTATTTCCAAAAGTAAATGTAGCCAGGTTACTTTAGCGCTTAGTCAATAGCTCTTTGAATGGTAAGCGTGGAGTCAGAATATGGCTGTTAAAACCCAATTTCCCAGAGGTTTTTAGTGCCTAAAGATGCAGATAGATGCCTAGTGGGGTTTTCAAAAATGCTTAAGAAGGCTAGGTGCCCAAAGTCCTTTGGAATCAAACAGAAATTAGGTATCTAACTGGCCTTGTCATCTTTGAAAATCCCAGTAGGCACCCACCTGCAGCTGTAGGCAGCTAAGTACCTTTTGAAAATGTATGAGTCATGTTTGTGAACCCTCTTCCCTGCACTTCACTAGGCACTTAACGACAAGTCCTGAGAATTAGGCCTATGTACTCTGAGGCATCACATGGGTTTGGAGGATGGTATTGTACCCTCAGTTATACTTTTGCTGTCACATTGACCTTTGTGGCATTGCCGCCAGGTGCACAACGACAACTAGTCTCTCGGAAAGTGAGTGGGGGCATCAAACTAGAAGCTATAGAGACCGGAAAATAATGTGAATCCAGACTGCATAACAAGCAAGGCCCCTTGGTCCAAACATACTGGTCACTTCACTCTGTAGTGGGGAGTTATCAGACTCTGTTAAAATCTTTACTTTACTGATGGAAAACAATGTGCCCATGGGGTGTTGGCTTCAGTGAGGTTTCTGCTTTCTCCCTCTCCTCATTCAGAAAAGTCTATAATCTCCCTGTGCTCTTCCTCCTTTTTTTCGGAGACTACTCTTTTGCTAACTGTTTTTTTTTCTCATTGCAGTCCCCACTCCATCCCCGACCGGCTACGGATCCGAGTGAACAGGATTAGTTTACAAGATTATGAGGGGCTGCATTATGACAAGGAAAAACTGCGTGAAGCCTGTAAGTCAGTAGGACCTCACTGGGTGATTTCTTTCTTTTGCCAGATAATGTGTGTAATAGATCTGATACTATAAAAAGTACAAGGTATACATTATGCACAGCTTGTACATGCACTATAGAACTGTGTCCTTAATTAGTCATGAACTTTGTATGTTGCTTACATTAAGCATAGAATAACTGATCCTTGTGTATTGACCATATATAGACTTGGACAGTTGTCATATGTCTTTTACTGGGCATTTGTAATTGAAAACTGCTAGCTGACTTTTTTAAATCAATGTCTCCCTGGTGGCCATACTGGATTTTACTTATTTTTAAAGATTCTGTAATTGACTTAAAATTTCCAAGTCAAAGGTTTAATTATAGGATTCATCCTATTTTGCCTAGCAGTTGCATTGGCGTCTAGGATGGTCACAAACCAGACACATTTGTCTTTGTGGGTGAATCATGCAAAGCCCTCAGCATGACATACACATAAAATAATCAGTGTTCTCATTTAGTGATTTAATTACCACATTCAGGGTGTAAAACAGTCAGCCCATTGCATTGGCATCACTGATGACGATGATCCACACACTTAAAAATGAAGTCCTTTTCCTTGATGACATGTGGAATCATTAATCAATGCGGGACACTGCTGCTTGCAATAACAGTTTAATAGAGTCTTGCTCATGCATCTGGCTCATTATTCATGTTAAATTACAAGCAGTCTGTTTGTTGTGTAACAAAGCTGTAGCTCCCTCTATAATACAGGACTCCCCGGTAATTACAGGATGGCAAGCCTTTTAATTGGTTTGCTTATCTTATTGTGGAAAGATGGCTATACTGTTACAGTCTCTCTCTCTCTCTCCCTGCTCCCTGTTTCCCTGCTCACCATCACTTCTTCCGGCAATGGAATTGAGATGGTCAGAATTTTAATACAGATTCTGACAGCCTCTTTTAAGCTCTTGCTGGTAGATTTCAGCTATAATTAAAGCAATTACAGACTTCATCAGTGGGCTGATGTGAATTATAACAAGATGATGTCTGTGATTTGGTGGAGTGGAATTTCTATTAATATTCTATTAACTTAGGATGTGAGTCCAATGGACCCTAAACAAAAGGGACATCTATCTATCTATCTATCTATCTATCTATCTATCTATCTATCTATCTATCTATCTATCTATCTATCATAGATAGAGAGATAGTTATATGAAGATCTATATCTATATCTATGCATTTATATAGGAGAAAAAGTTATTTTGGATGAATTGATGCCTCTCTTGAATATCTTTTTTTCTATCTCACACACTCTCAGCATTTGAGGAAAGAAAAATATACCTGTTGTCATTAACTTTAAAAAACCCTGTTTTAACAAACAGTTTAGAAGATGAGCTGCTGTTATTATAGTAAATAGATATTTTTATCTTGTTTGTTAGTGGTGAAAAACTCAATGATGCCATTATATGAAATGTCTAGCAAACAATGTAAGAGTGTAATGAAAGATGTGGCAGATCTCCCATCTGGATTTTGTTTGTATGGAAATCTGGCCATTTGATGGATTTTTTTTGTTCATCTTCATTCTAAAAATTTAAATTTTGACATCAAATACTTGCAATAGCTGTTGTCAGATCGTGGGGATCGTTTAAATATTATCCTACTCCTTCATCTCTTCAGCCTGCTGCTGGAACTTCTTGCTAATTCCATTTCTATCCCCAGTGCTGGTTCCCTATCTTCTCATTTTTCATACAACTTCTCTTTTCTCACCAGCCTTTTCCTGGTCCATGATCCATCTACTCTCTTTCTCTCTCTGTTCTTCTCTTTCTTTCTTGGAATGCTTTTTGTAAAGTAAAAATGTCACACAAGCCCAGTGCCCCTCCAGCTGCCCCACTAGATCAAAGTAAAATAGATAACTAAAGACATACATCTCCCCCCCTTACAATATTTAGGAAAGTCCTGCGTGAATATCTAATTATTGAAATTTACCCTAAAAGTTAACACGTTTTTACTATATTGGACTAAAACTAAAAGCTAAATACTTCATATCAAAATTGTCCTAACTTCAGGTTGAATCTTGAAATGAAGGTTTCAATCTAATCCCAATCAAGCTTCCAGGAAGAGAAGAGTTCTCTACAGCTGCCACTAACCAAATTATTATATAAATTATAGTCATCTTGAATTTTGCACCTAGGAAAAAGATTTGTCCATGCTGTCCAGGGAGCATAATGGCATAACCTCCCTTCCCAGTTACCTTGTGACATATATTACACATCTCCATAAGAGAACTATGCTAATAGCAAAACATTGTTATATCAGTGGCCTATACAACCTGAGGGTGTGGCAAGAAATGAGATTGAAGACACTTGGCACTTTCACTTATCTGAGAAGTGCATCTAAGTATTTTCTTGCATTCTAGAAGTGGGTTATTGAATATAAATAAGATAATTATAATAAAAAAAGTATGATATTTTACTCAGCTGTCAAAAGGGGGAAAAATACCCTTCCTCTGGACAAATGGAGAGGTAGAATTTTGCAAGGCTGATTTTAAAACCTAAATATACATTCCAAAGAAATATAGCTGTTTGTTTGCTGCTAGGTGGAGAGACCTTTGTTATAGGAATTCTGAGTTAGAGAGGCTTGCTTTTGAAGTGCCAATTGCTCTGCATCAGGTCATGCCCTCACAATAGCACCATGATATTCAGCAGCATGTATTTCTCACTCTGTACCAATGTGATTCTCAGTCTACACATCATTCTGTACTGTAACAGAATGAACATGAATATAGAAAGTCTAGAATGCCTCAGTTACTTACCACTTCTCTGCTCTTGCTGCCTTAATAAAAAGCCAGCAACAAGAGGAACACAAAAATCAGAACATGAAAAGGAAACCAGTTAATAACCACGCACTTTATTATCCCTTCAGGAGCACTTTGGGAAAGCTATTAAGATTTTTGCCTGTGACATGTCTCCATAAGCGAGTTTTGGAAGCTCTGACATCAGCGTAACAATCTGAATCACCATAACTCAGAGTAAACACATTTCACTCTCCTTGTGTGCTTGAAATACTCATTTGATTCTATCTGCTGCTTCATCTAAAATTGAATTTTCCCCCGTCTAACAACTTGTCATACAAATAGTTCAGTAAAAGATTAATCTATGCTCTACTGGAGGTAGAAACCTCATTTCGAAAACCTTCTGAGCAATTAAATGGTGTTACTCTGCCCTCTGAAGGGCACGGCCATTCACACCTGATTCTGTCTTTGTCATACTTTCCTTTCCTTGTTGCTTTAGCAGGCATTTCACCAACATATCTTTACCAAATTACCTGCTCCTCCTTTCCCCCTGCTCCATCTCTGGTGTCTCTTGGTTTTGTACTTTTTCCTAACTACCCCTGGATATTATCCATGGAATGATAAAAATATAGGGGGTATCTTACACTCTACAACAAGGAAGAGAGGGTAGCTTCCTGACTATTCAAACGTCATTCTTTTGAGAATGGTGTGTATGTGTGTGTCTCATATGTGCACACACATGTGATGCAAGTAAAGCTGAGCAATTTTTAAAATAAATAGTTTATTTACTAAAGAATATAGTTGTAGACTGACCCGGAAGAATCTGTAAATTTGACATGAATAGTTTTGATCATATTTCTCCCCACTCCCCAGTAACTTAGATGCCATTCACAGTGCAACCAGGGAAGAAGGAGTCATATAATGTTTAGCTCACTGATTTGAGCAGTAACTCTTGGTGTGGGAAACTTGGATTCAATTTCCCACCAGGGAGTGAGCATTTGAACTTGTAGAAGACAGCCTGAGCCACTGGGCAGATCTTGGTCATCCCGTCGAAGCTGTATCACTTTTTTATAGATAATTAAATGATCATTTGAACAGGGACTTAAACTGGATCCCCTACATCCTAAGGGAGGGCCCTAGTCATCAATCTACAGTCAAAGAAAATAATATATATAAAAATGGTAGAAAGGAGATGTTCAGTAATAATGTAGAAAAACTGTAAGTGTCCATTAAATATTTCTGTTTTGTATTTGAGCAAAACAGATGATATAGTCATATCATATAACAAGATGAAATATTTTCCATCCTGATAGTAACTCAGGAGGATACTAAAGAGCAACTTCTATAATTAGGTATTTCTAAATCCACACATCTAGATAACTTGAATCCAAGAGTTTTAAAAGAGCTGACCGAGGAGCTTCCTGGAAAATTAATGGTTTTTTTTATAATTCTTGGAACACTGGGGAAGTTCCAAGTGCCTCAAAGAGAGCTACTGTGCTAGTATTTAAAAAGGTTAAATGGTATGATGCAGGTAATTATAGGCCTGTCAATTCGATGTCGATCCTGGGTAAGATAATGGAGCAGTTGATATGGGACTTGATTAATAAAGAATTAAAGGAGAGTAATATAATTAACGTCAATCAACACGGTGGTATGGAAATAGATCTTGTCAAACTAACTTGATTTGTGTTTTTTGGGATGAGATTACAAGTTTGGCTGATGAAGCTAATAATGTGAAGGTAATATACATAGACTTCTGTATTTGACTTGGTAGCACATACAATTTTGATTAAGAAACTAAAAATATACAAAATTGAGATGGCACACATTAAACAAATTAAAATTGGGTAACTTATAGGTCTTAGTATCTAATGAAGAGAACAGGTCAATGCAACAGATGAATCTGGATTGTCTGGGTAAGTAGGGCACAAGTAAACAATTTTTGTTTCAATATTGCTAGATGTAAATGTAAAGAACTAGGAATAAAGAGAGTAGGTCATACTTACAAGATGGAGGACTCTGCCCTGGGTAGCAGAGACTGTAAAAGATTTGGGAGTGGGATATGGTATAATTATCTGAACATGAGCTCCCAGTGTGACGCTTTAGCCAAAAGGGCTAATACAGTCCTTAGATGGTTAAACAGAAGAATCTCACATAGCAGGAGAGAGGTTATTTTACCTCTTTATTTTATATTGGTTCAAGCACTCCTGGAATAGTGCACACTGCC